GTGCTTTTCATATCTTTATGAACTATGCATCACCTGTGGTATCACAAAACAATGTGAAAATGACATGATGAGCTTCCTAACCTTTCTATAAAAAGAGTGCTTAGTTTAGTTCTAACAATATTTAAGTAGGTGACAATATTAGTTTAAAGTACTGTAGTGTTGAGATGTATGATAATATAAAAAAAGAAAGTACTAAAAAAGTAAAATATAAAACTAACTTGATATAGCATGACCATGCCTGTCATGGGAAGTAGCCTTTGAATATAACTGTCGCTGTAATGAGTGTGCTGCCTCAAAGCCTTGATTTGAATACTCCCTCAAGCTGAGGTGGTTTCTAAACAGCATGCTGGCATGTTCAATGGTGATGTGGACATAATCACCAGTGCCCAGGTTGTAGTCAAACACTTCCCTTAAAAGGAATCCCAATTCTTTGCACTAAAAGAAAAAAGAGGCATATTTCCATGGGTGTTAAACTGTCAAAACCAACATTGAAGACCGTGCAGTAACCGACAGCAGGTCTAAAATACAGGTAACCTTTCCACAGGTCAGAGTACAGTTCACCATGGTACAGACAAATGAATAGCATTAAAAGTGTTTGCAAGCACTAAACTCTTAACAAAATGCTCTATTAGATAGAGGGGAATCTGTGTGGTTTGGCAATTCATCTATGTAGCAGTGACATGTACTTCTCACCTGTGGAATGTGACCTGTACTTCATGAATATCTTAAAAACATTTAAGGAGAGATAAACATTTTGCTTTTAAAATAAGAATTTATGTGCCTCATTCTCATTCATTTTTTTCATCTAAAAAATTGGATGTAAAGTTTAGCCGTGCCTTTATCAGATAGACACTCATTAAGCATTTTTTCTTTTGTTTTTTCTTTATAGGATTATTAATGAGTTTTTGAATGTCAGTTAAAGTGCCTGGAAATTATTTTTGAATTTCTTGTCATGCAGTAGCTCACTCTCATTCAACGACCACATAATTAAAACAGCATCATCTTGTATGTCTGCCCTAGGGCAAATTAGCCGAGTTAAACATATATTTAGAAAAGACATACTTGTTACAATAATTAATTCTCTCGTGTTTAGTAAGTTGTATTACTGCTCATCCGTCTGGTCGAACACTTCTGCCAGCAATATACGCAAACTACAAGGAGTACAGAATTTCGCTGCTCGCATAGTTTCTGGGACAAGGAAGTTTGATCACGTATCTCCAGCCCTGAAAGACCTGAGATGGATACCAGTTAAGTCCCACCTGTATCTAAGAGACGCCATCTTGGCCTTTAAATCTATGACAGGTCAGGTACCAAACTACCTCAGTTCAAATTTTATCTCCAGAGGGAATATCAGTAGTCGGACGACCAGATCATCTTCCCAGCTTAATATACCTCTTTTTAAAACCAAGTCGGGACAGAGATCTTTTTATTACAGAACTGTAACATTGTGGAATGCATTAAAACCCCATTTTAAATTAAGTGAATCTCTTATCATTTTTAAACGTAAAATGAAAGACTAATCCTTTTAAATCAATGTTTAATGTCATAAATTTATATGTAAATAGTTTCTTAATAGTTTGTTGATAATCAATTTGTGATACCTTTTTTTTTTTTTGATTACCTGTACTATTAATACTTGTCTCTGAAAAGCCCCCATGGGGAGTTGACAATAAAATTTGTATTGTATTGTATTGTATTTTTTTTAATTTCTGGTCTCTGGTGAAAGATTTACAAGAAACTCCACTACAGCTGTATTAACCTTCTTGTCTAAATTTATTATTGTAATAGTTTTAGACATCATTCATATTTTCCATTAAGAGGACTTTATTTTCAAATGGTACTTTACACTCTTACTAAAAGTGAATTACCTGACACATACCTGTAATGTCAAAAATGTCAATTAAATCTTGCTGATCCTCCTCCAAGACACTACTTCTAATAATTTCAGAAATGTCTTTCCAGTCATTGTAAACCTGAAATCAAAATAAATAAATTATACAAAAAGCCCAAATTACAATCTTAAATGAGGTGTTTTAAGTTAAGGGGAAACTGCCTATCTCAGTTTTTTTTTATAAGAGCATGCAGTGACCTTCCCTTGTGACCTGTGTTGTAACTGCCACTTGTTAAAGTTAAGAATTTTGTTCCTAAGCAAAATCAGCTTGACTAGTTTTAACTTAACGTGTCTGGATTTTGCCCCATATCTTATTTCTCATAAAACTGTCCAATGTGTCTTCCAATTGAGTAAAAAAAGACTTGATTATTTGATTACCTTTAAAAATAATTGGTAGAACACTTCTGCTGCATAATCAGATAGCTGAGAAAGATAAGCATTGTCCACCTTCTGCCTTTTCTTTCCCCGTTTCCCTTTAGCAACCGACCAACCAACACACTTCTCTGACAGCTCCACATATCTTTCCTCGATTTAACGTAGCCTGACCTCCTGCCAGAATTTCAGTCTTCTTTGAACTTCTTTTCCAGTTTCTAAGGAAAACAGGTTAGGTAGTCACATCACGAAGTGTAAGGGGTATTCTTATTAAGGGAGGACTATTATGCAAGAACACAAACCACTGCTGGGTGTGCTCTACATGCTAAGGAACATTCACTCAGTTGGGATGTAGTAATCTGATGCAATAATGATGTACCCCAATGATAAACAATGGTCACGTCATGGGGTTGTATTAATACTGACAGTGCTAGCTAGCCTATCACAACTTCCAGTGTCGATGGATGTAAATACAGTCATTAATTCAAACTGTCTGGTTTATCACAGTCAAAGGGAACGAAAGGTTGTAAATAACAGTATAATGACTGTAACATGTACCTGAACCTGTGAGGATAATAGTCTCCTCCTTTGATTTAATTGAACCAAAGTCTCGTCTAAATGTGTGTGAAATAGCCGTGTCCTGACAGTACTAAAACAAATTATTAAAAATTCATTGAATATTTTCAACAGAAACCATTTTTTTCAGTGTATGTTTGTACATACTACACAAAAAATATTATTGTGTGTTGCACTGGTTTTAAGTGAAACATTCAAATCATGTGATATCCTGAGCCATACCTTGATTCTATCATTACAAAATGTGACTTTATTGGGTGTTACTAAAATGAAGACCCAAAAACGAAGACCTAAGACCTAAGACCCCGTGGACTAAAACAAAGACCCCTTGGACTAAAACGAAGACCCCATGGACTAAAACGAAGACCCCTTGGACTAAAACGAAGACCCCTTGGACTAAAATGAAAAATGACTGATGCTAACCGCTGAGGGCAATGCCCGCTCTTGTAATTTGTTACTGCGATTTGGGAATGTTGTGGAATTTCCTCTGCAGTCATTTAGTTGTGATAATCAAGTCTATCACTTACCTTTCCTTCAGGTTTCTTTTAAAATATTTTGCATGTTTTAAACCACTTTGCATTGGAAGTGTTTACGGTGATGGAGATGTTGGGATAAAAGTCCCAGGTTCGAGTCTCGTGAAACATACGTTTTTTTTCCCTCGTCGTTTTCCTTCTTTTTCTTTTATTATTATTTTTTTTATCACAGTTATCATAAAAACGACTGTTTAAACTGTAAAGATGAGTCATCTTTTAACAATAGAGGACAGAATATCGTAACATCGTATGACAGGGATGTAAATAAAACAAATAAAACCCAGCATAAAGACAAATGAACCTCGCTTAAATGAAACTCGAAATGTTAACCTTAATTTACTCAAGTAATGTTCTCGATCGAAGGCTTTTTTTTCTCTATTGATGAGGTAAAAAGTAATAAATAGTGCGCGAGGTTGCTCTCTCCTTGAATTCGTCAATGAAAAATGTCTCCTTGTTATTTCCTCCCTATACTACATGTTGTCACTGTTTTGTTTTTTAAGTGCATTGATACAATTCTTCGACATTTTAGACTAAGCTGGAGCACGCGGTTATATTTTCTTAACTCATTACACCCAGGATGACACCCAAATCATCCGACATTGAATTGCGAACGATATAAATCAGAAAGCCAATGGACCCGCTCCTCCCCCAAACCCTAACTACGCGCCCAAAACACGTTTGGCGGAAGTCTTCAAGACAAATCCTGTCATGAGCCTTTTTGATTGTCAGGCCTCCCATCCTTTAGGCTTGTCACGCCAATCCTCTTCACCGAGGGCACATTATAACCATACAACACACTAGATGACCCTTCATCACCGTAAACACTTCCAAAGTGGTTTAAAACATGCAAAATATTTTAAAAGAAACCTGAAGGAAAGGTAAGTGATAGACTTGATTATCAAAACTAAATACTTCAGAGGAAATTCCACAACATTCCCAAATCGCCGTAACAAAGTACGGGAGCGGACAATGCCCTCAGCGGTTAGCATCAGTCGTTTTTTGTTTTAGTCTATGGGGTCTTCGTTTTAGTCAAAGGGGTCTTCGTTTTAGTACATGGGGTATTTATTTTAGTCCAAGGGGTCTTCGTTTTAGTCCATGGGGTCTTCATTTTAGTCCAAGGGGTCTTCCTTTTAGTCCATGGGGTCTTCGGTTTAGTTCATGGGGTCTTAGGAATTAGGTCTTCGTTTTTGGGTCTTCGTTTGAGTAACACCCGACTTTATCCAGGAGGGCCTCCTTGGCACTTTCTGGATCAGCAAAATATATGACTTCAATTTGTCATGAGGCAAGGAGTTGCTGACAATTGTTTCAATGTTTGTGAGGAACTCACATTCAGTAGAACCTTCAGGAAAAATAGTACAGAAAGGAACAAAAGGGATTTAAACACACAACTTAATGACATCTTCATTACAAACCAGTGTTACAGTTTTCATATTAAGGATCAAGGTATTGTAAAAATGAAACTCATGCAGCTGCTACAGCACAGAAGTAAAAGCCCTGAAGTGGATAAAGCGAATTAAAGGAATCACGACAAAAATGAAGCAAGATATATAGCAGGTACCTGAAAATGAAGACACCTGGATGTTGTGCTTTTCAACGGCAGTTTCTTGGCGCCTCCTTCATCTTCACCGTTATTCTACTGCTAAATTCTCAGGGCCATAATTTGCCAATTCGGCATCACATTCATCAAGTGAACCCACTTTGTACGAAAAAAAAAAAACCAACAATGACAACAGCTGTTCAGTATTTCTAAGTTCACAGTGAAGGGCGCAGAGATTAATAGACGATAAATCCTCTTCAAAAAGGAACTCTAAGTCATCACGGATGCCTTTGAAACTAGAAAAAAGAAGATTCATTATTTTGTTAGTTGTAGGGGATATCTCCCCTGAAGTGGTACTTAACAGTTTTATAGATTTCAAACTCAAGTATTTTATTCGACAGGTTTTCAGTCTTTTATGACAGTGCCCCTACAATATTGACACACCTACAGTAAAGGAAGAGTGTGATATATTATTATGGGAAAATAATATGTGCTCTAGGAAAACAAGACAAGGATAATTGCCAACATTTTATAGACAGGGGCATTAAACACCATGTTTGTCCAAAAAAAGCTTTTTGTTTTCTTTTCCATGCAGTGGAACTTCCCCTTTTACAAAAGGCAAGGCTTAATTTACAAAATATTATTGCTAAAATAAGGTCTATATAAAAAGTTAGTCTTTTATAGAAACATACTTTAATTAAGCTATAAATGCTGGCATGAAGAGATTCACTCACTATACCAGGGAATTTAATTTTTTAAATAGAGGTTAACTGTATTGAGATAACCTTGTTTTGAATGCCTTTTATAATTAGAAGTTACTGTGGATTCAAAACGACAACTACAAATGCTGAAATTCATGAATAATCACGGGCTACATGCCTCAACAAGTATCATCGGAGAATTCTTAGTAAACCAAAACTATAACTAATTATAAATTACCCTCCAATATAATTGGCCTTGGACATGCTAAAGTGTTCCAAACAAACTGTGTGCAGACCAAGATTGCAATTACATTTCTAATAAAGCAACAATAAAAATAGCCATTATTCACCAGCCCTGTAGCTAGTTTTTACGAACAAATTTTACCCAGCAAAACTGAAAATCTAATAGTACTGTATTGGTAAGTTGGTCATTGGTAAGGTCAAATCCTGCATAGTAGAATTTTTTGACACAGAGATTTTGAATATATACACATACCCTCAATGCTTTGCAGATAAAGCAACACTCTACTTCAGTTCCTCGTTTCCCAAGCTGAAAGTTCGCTTTCCCTATTTGTTCCAGCAAAAGATAGAGGGCCTTCAGGTCAAGTATAACTGTAGATATAAATTTTTAAAAAGAGGTCAATGTACATGCAGGTATTTGCATTTGGTTTGAAAATTATGGTACTAAAAAATACCTTATTAATTATTATGTGAAACTGACCTTTAAATCTCACAACATAATGCACTCCATCCACTCTGATTCCATTCTTCTTTAGTGCATCCTTTTGTTTGTTGACATTAACAATCAGCTTTTTTAGGTTTTCCCTAATAATAGTAAAAAGTAAAGTTACCGGTAAACTAAAGTTATTACTAAAATGAAAAAAAAGGGAAATTGAAATACCATACTGCTAGTCTGGTCTGCGGCATATAGTTCTTAAGACTTGAAAACATAAGGTTGGGTGTGAGTGGCCCACTAATAAATTAAGACCTTTGCGGTAACATTTTCAAAAATGATCGTTTACTGGGGCCTTTAGGCCTCATATAATAAATTTGTTGTAAATTCACAAATTATTTCAGCTTACATGTACAACTGGTCAACAACCAAAACTTACACAGTCAAAAAGGTACAATAAAAATTTTCACTAACAAAACTAGTTATTTGGGAAACAAATATCTATTTGACTAATGAATCAAATTTAAATACAACATACCTGTCTTCCTTACAATTGGCAATAGCTAAAGGGCACACTAATTTGCAGCTCTGATGAGACAGGAATGGTGTGTCTTTGGGGACTACACCCATTAGGACCTGACTGCGCCCTACAAATGAGAGGAAACAAAAAAAAGGCATTTCAAAAATTTATAAGCACCACTTCATGACCTAGAATTCAAAGTGTTTGGTTATGTTTACCCTGCCACTTTTATTCATGTTACCTCCCCCCTCAAACTTAATACAGACACCATTATTTAACCCATTCGCCCCTGAACCACCCGTAACCGCCCGTGCGGATCCAGGTCCTTTCTACTCTTTGTGACTTCATCAGTTTTAATGGTCAAGGACAACTTTCTTCGCTAACTTGTGCAGAATGAAGAGATCTTTCAAACCATACCATAATGAGCACAATTCAGTCAAGGACACCGGAGAAAGAAGCAAAAAACCACGTGACATTGACCTGAAAATCTCCATGAAAATCTTGTTCCTTACCCACCTACCTTTCCTTTCTCCTAATCCTAAGATCCTAAAAGCTTTGCTAAAAACTACTCCCACCAAAATGAAGCCTACTAAATGCCCAGCAAGAGAAAAAAAAAATGAGGCAAGAAAAACGAAAAAAGAAGGGAGGAGAGAAAGGCAAAAGTAAAAGTCCAGACTGCTGTGTCACTTTTAAACCCAAAAACTATCTCGAAATTTGGCTTTCTGCGCATGCCCGAACTTCGCAAGCTGATATTTTACATCTGGATCAAAAGGCCGCGAAGTGTACGACCTATAAACCGGTTTGTGGTAAGTTTTAGCTCTTTATAGCACGACAGTGAACAGAAAACCACTCGACTAGCTTCAAAACGCGGTTTTCGGCAAAATCTCCAGGAGCGAATGGGTTAATGGATTTGTTGCAACAAAAAGCTCATGTATTTTCTCTAAAATTTACTCCCTAATACAGAGTGAGACAACAATAATATGGACAACATGTTTAAAACTCCCGTATATTATATATCCTGCCTTACATTATTTTATCTCTGCACTGCCTATGACTGAATATCTTTCAAGTGAAAATTATGGATAAGGCATGGTAAATGGTTGAGAATACTGACAAAAAAGGTTATTTCAGTCCAAGACTACACCTATGATAAAAGATCACAGGGTTTCGTTAGGATGAACTTGTTTCAGTATTACAGTTAAGAAATAATTTGGACACATATTGTATGTCCCTTGGTGTCATAATTTTTAACCCAGTCTCACTGTTGATTTTGTTTCTATGTTTTTTTCTTAAGTGCAACACAGTTGTTGCAAAATACAATACAGGAATCTGGAAATAATTAAGGTACACTGTATTTACTAAAGATTGTGTTCTCACCTGCAAATGGCCTACCATCAAGCTTGAGGCTTAGGTCAATTATTTCGTTCTGCACACCATGTAATCTCAACTCCCTGATAATAAATGTTATGGCACTTTCAAGAGAAACTTCATAACCAGGAAAATCTTGTATTTGGGTGATATCAAAGAGGCTTCGAACTTTATCAAACACCATGGACCGAAGTGCCTTTATGTTGCTTTTGGAAAGCAAGATCGGAGTGTCTGATGAGTTCTAAAAGAAAAGAAAAAAAGATCAAAGGAAGGTACTGACACAGTACCCCTACCTCCCCCGACAGAAATAGCCAATTTTTCTTACACCCCTCAGAAATATTCCAAAGATCAAAGGTGCACGTCACAGTCAATCCCCTCAGAAATGACTTTCAAAGCCTCCCCCCGCCGCCATCAGAAAATCTTGTTCATAGTGGGGGGGACTGGGAGTGGATATTTGAATGGAATAGACCACAATTCATTTATGGTTTAATAGGGGGATTACTTGATAGTTCTAGTAAGCTTAAAGAAAACAACAACAAAAAAAATAGTCGGTGGCTAATTCACCCCGCTTTTTCCAAGTCGAGTCCGATTTAAGATCATCTGCCAGGAATCGTCAGATACAAAGAAGCAACATCCAATCTGGCACAGATATCATTTGTACACGCTGGTTCTACAGCTCCTCACCGCTGACATACGAGCTCGCAGAATGCCTTCCGAACTCCCAGCTCGTTCACTACTTCACTAAACACATGCCAAATGAGCTCCTGCCCATTGATCCCATTGAAAGTTTTCTTACGCTGAAACGGGCAGCTTTGTGCAACAACGTCCCCCAAGGTTTCTCCCTGCTGTAAACATACAGATTCGATGCTAATTCTCATTACAGCTTCTACCTTTTGTGTGATCTTTCTCTTCTTATACGCAGAGCCAAAATTTCCATTTAATAACGAAGAAATTGACGATACAGATCCGAGGAGTCGTCACAGGAACTTGACGAAGACGTGTCAACATCAGTGGCAAGGGGGATTTCAAATTTTGGCGGGCTTTGTCTACGTGGAGTGGAGCATTTTGGCGGTCTTCCCGGAAAGCTGCTTTTTAAAGATAATTTCTCCCCTTTCGATTCTTGAGGACTTTCTCCTTCATCATTGTTGGAATCTCTGTCTGTACTAACGCAGCATAAATCCTGAGCGGGCCTGTGATCGATGTCCGATTCTTTCAAAACATGCTCGTTGATGGTCCGCTTCAGCGACAAGAAGGCTTCTGATCGAAGAAATTCCGATTCTGACGGGTTCCTAAGGACAAAACTACAGGCAACGACTGCAAATGTACTTCCAACGTAAACTTGATCAGAAGATTTTTGCCCATTTAGCTTGAACCACTGGCTTAAGACAGGGCAGCCATTTTCATCGTGCAGATCACACAGGAAATGGCATAGTCAAATAACCAATTGTAATTTCAGTAATGATTTTATGTGTTTGAGGAATCATAACCTTGGTTTGCCCAGGCTTCACCAAGTCATCATATCATTTTGTCAGGCACAGGAATCACAACCCTGGTTTTTAAAGGCTTTATGAAATCATTTGAGGAATCATAACCTGTGTTGTCATAGCTAAGAATCATAACCACGATGTTGCAAGACTTATTAAATCATTTGAGGAATCATAACCCCCACTATCGCATTGTTAAAATCAAAGTATCACTCATTGTAGCTTGAGAGTATACTGTCAGTGGAATCATAACCCCCCACCCCCCCACCCCCAAATTAAAGAATTTCCCAAATCCTTTCATTTCAGATATGTGAATATACAGGAAATCATCGCAATGATTTTTGCTTTTGTTTATTTGGGTCTTAAAATTATGCTCAGATACATTTTTTTTTTCAAACATTTCCCTTTTTAATAACAATTTGAAAAATGCTTGGTGAACTGAAGTAACATAACCAAAATTCCAGAGTCTCCCCACAAATTGCACTGTGAAGTGTACGGATCAAAAATAATCCAATATGGAAAAATAACAATACACAAGGAATCAGTGTAGATAACAGCTGTCAGAGAAAACGTAAGTTTAATGGCGATGTTATATATACAATACAAATATATAAATGTTGTCTGAATGTTAATAATAGATAATCAAGTTCATGTTTAAATTAATAAACATTAATAGACCAGTGAAATCCAATTAATAATGAACAAATATCAATAAACAATGTAAAATAACAAATTTGTTTTTTGCTGCAATGCGCCAAATTGCGCGATTGTGGCAATCTTTACTATTGTGTGACAATGTTTGCGTTAATTGATTTGACTCAAGTTGAAAAATTTTTGGTCGACCAAAGGGGAGAAATTGCTCCTTCGAGAAGGGATTTTTGACGAAATATACATGGAAGTGCAAAATCCAGAAGAACTTATGAAAGTGTTACACAAATGTACTTGATAATCCTTCTGCTAAAAGCCAGTTGAATTCATTTGTTGAGCAAGCAATTATATCATGTCAGAATTAGAGAATTAAATAGGAGATCAAAACATATTCCCCTTGGACATCCTCTTTTTAGACTAGTGAAATCCAATATTTACTCCTTAAGCCTGACAATATCAATAAACAAATTCTGTGAGACTGATCATGATATCCCATACATCTCATTATAGAAAATTTGATAGAGGATCAAAACTTATTCCCTTCGGAGATGACTATTTCTATGAAAGTTCTCAGAACCTTCTCTCTTGATGACATATTGATATTGCCAGTAGGAACTGATTGACGTCCAGGGTCACTATTAGGAATTGTAAGGTTCAATACTTATATACATGTATATTATAAATTATAACCACTTCTCTCCCAGAATGGCATGCAATTGTCACAATTAAAGTATCTGACAAAATTTTTAAATTTCATTCTGTAAAGTGCTATATAAAAAAACAGATAGCGCCTAGAGTTATGCCAAAGAGGTTTCATTTGAATGGTCATACCACAGAATTTCATCAGCAGATTTTAAATCTAGTACAAGAGTTATTATTCATTCTGGGAATGAAGAGATAATTAATACATCATTCTGTTGTCGATCTACTGGTTTGTGTCAGTGACCTATACTTATAGCTGGAACACTACACTTTGTATTTTGAATTTCAATATTTTGCGTCAGCCTAAAATATTAATGTTAGCTGGACTTTTGGGCTGCTATTCAAGGAACCTGAGTGATGCGGGAATTCAAATCCCATATAAAAATGACAATTTGATGCTCAGTATAATAACAAATTAGAGTGAAATCCCTAAAAGAGGACAATGCGGGTTTGTTTCAGGCTTGAATTGAATCCTTACAGAAACTTATAATAAACTCCAACACATTTCATCAATTTATATAGACATAATTAATTTCTTTACCCACAACATCAAGCAGTGCCTGTATGGGTAAAAATATTGGTTATTTGTCCTAAACACCTTTATGTGGTGCGATCAAAGCCAGGGTTATCTCCTACCTGTCCCAGATTCTGGGATATACATGACCAGACCCGCCAGGGTCTCTCGACGGGTAGGAGAAAAAACCTGGGAACGAGATTGGATCAAAACCTGTAAATCCAACACCTAAATAATCAAGCATCCCTATCAATTTTGTTATGGGAGTCCACACTCATCCACAAGGATAAATCCTTTTATTGGAATTAGGACTGCAGATAGACCATAAAAGTCAGTAATTTTTCACTGTGTTTGAATTTCATGTCTAATTAGGCACTCTGGTTATCCACAAAAAAATTCAAAGGCTAATATTGCTTCCTAATTAATCTCCTAGGATGTTCGTACAATCAACCATTTGATTGCACTATGGGACAATTCCAAAACATTGAATCATTTGAGATTTTACTGATTGTATTGAAAGAAACAGCACAGTCTTTTAAAGACAACCAAAGAATAATTTAGACCGAACCTTTCAAATAAGATCCTTTAATGGACCAAAAAGTGTTTATTTTAATATTGCCAGACCTGCCAACTCTCACAATTCTGGCTTCAAAGACTCTCATGATTTTTCACTTGTCACATGGCCCCACAACAAGACTTAAACAGGCATTGTTCATAAAAAGGACAGGAAAAAAGGGTAAATTTTTTGCACTGTGATTACTATAGTGCATCATGAGAAAAGCTTGATTCCTGTGTTTTTTAAAGGTCTCTGTTTGTCACCTTTATTTGATAAATTTGAGTCTGGAAAGAGAAATAATAATTTTTGTTTTGGAAAAAGTCTGGAAAAAGTCTTGAATTTTGGATCCAAAACTCTGTGACACATGCACTTTTAAAAGTAGACAAAAAAGTCTGCAAACTGAAAAAGTACCAAATGGGCAAAAAAGAACCCTTGAAAATACATCTGAATGAGCTGCCCAAAATTGTCAATGTGCATCCACTCTCATTGGGCTCTTCCTACACATGTGATGTCATCAGTTTACCATTAGACATTACCGTCTAACCTCTCCTTATAAACACCTCTATAATACGGACACGTCTCTATTACGGACAGTCCATATTTAAAAAGGTGGGGAATCGAAAAGTTAGAAAGTTCTTTGCATTTGGTTTCATTTTGCCTTTGTTTCCCTACAAAAGTAACCAAGGATCAAGCTCAAAAGTAAAATGCTTGCTCCTTGGCCCCTGGTGGCAGCCCTGCCTTTAAAAAAATCAGTTGTTGGGTGTTCAGGCCTATATATAATTCTCGACTGATAGTCAATATCTATGACAAGTACAAAAAAGTAAAATAAGAGAACAAATTGTACTTAGCATTTCAAAATTTCTGTGTTGTTTGATCGTCTGGATCTTAAAAACTCATTGTCACTTAAGTGCAACATGTTATTAAAGTTCAAGGCTGTGCTCTAAGGCTGTAACACCTAGGGTGCCCAGCATATGATTTGAATGAAAAAAGTAAGACTTTCAAGTTGCTTGAGAGCAAGAGTTACAGGAGCGGGGTGAATAGGCGAATGGATCGGCGGATTTTGAAAATATTTTTGCCCAGATTTCGGATTCAAAGCGAGATTTTAACGGATTTCCGGATCCTGTAATTGCAGCGGATTGTGGATTCATCGACTTTTTAGGCCCGGATTTTGAACTTTACGTGTAATAAAAATATTTTTGCCCGGATTTCGGATTCAGGGCGAGATTTTAACGGCGGATTTGGCCAATAAATCATAACGGATCGGCGGATTTGCATACCCC